AAATATATTTATTGCCAAGCCCGTATTTATACCTGTGCGGGCTTGGCCGCATGCTAACCACGTCCAATAGAAAAAGGGCAACGGGTTGCACCAACTCACCAAGCATACCCATTTAACTTTTTCCTTATATTGTGCTCCTCAAGGAGCCCACTGTAAAATTGGTACCTCGGGCAATTTAGTTTTTCTTTATTTTGGAATTAGAAAAGAATTAGAATTTGAATTAGAATTTGAACGTGAAAGGTCATTTTCAGTGGAATTATATATAATCTTAGACCTATAAAAAAAACAAAAATATAAGAAGAGGATTTGGAACTCCAAGTTCTCAACCATTTTTTTTAGCAATAATTTTGGTTTGGAGCTTGAAGTTCCGAATCAAAAAATTAAGCCAAAACAAGAAATAACCCTATTCAGAACTTAAACGTCCAAACGGAGTACATTTTGTTAAAAATAAAGACGGCCTGAAAAAACGGATGTGTACATAAAAATAAGAATATGCCGTGTAATTTGTTTTGAGCGTCTATCATGCTTCTGCTGGAGCATAGTGTATATCTACTTCTTTAGTGATAAGACCTACACGGGGAGATTTTTTTTTACTGTAGAATTTAGGTAACCACCTAAGAATCACTAGATGATTATCTTAAAAAAATAAGTTAGTTTTTTAAAGCTTGAATATCACTCTTTAAAAATCGGACCGCCTCTATTCAATATTGAGACATTAATATTTTTCAAGTACGTATACGATACAATTAAGAAGTTTTATTTATATTTATTGAGGTTAATCTATGGGTTGAAGAGGTTACATCCTTAATATTTAGATTTCCTAAAATTAATCCTAGATGAGGTTTTATTTAGAAGAATAATCGGACAATATATTCCTTGATAAGCATAATATCTTGGGCTCTTTTTATGACACAAAAAGGGATACTTGACTTCATTCCGTAATTTTTATCACAAATTTTCATAGTTTAAAAATAGTTTTAAACAATTCCTTTCTCCTCTTCATATTAACTATATCACTTTTAATTTCTTTTAATTTCTTTTAATTTACCCTTCCCATCTCCCTCCCACATTTACTCTCTCTCTTCTCCCTACATGCATAAAAGCCATAAATATAGGGTCTTTTTTAATGTAGACATAAATATAGGTAACTCTTTTTTGATTTAATGTTTTTATGTAACTCTCTTCTTCCTACATGCATAAATGGACATAAGTATAAGTAATTATTCCTTTTGTTTTTATGTAACTTATTTTTTAATATGATGTCTCTCTATTTTTTTCTTTCTATTTAATTTACTCTCCCTACCTCCCACTTTTATCTCCCATATCTATTTAATTTACTCTCTCCCTCCCACTTTTCTCACTCCCTCCCACTTTTCGCTCTCATACTATGTAACAAGCTATTTATGTCTCTATACCTCTCACTTTTTTTCCCCTTCCCACCTTTCTCTCTCCGCATCATAACTCCTTCATTAGATATCTCCTAAACATCTCTCATTTGTTACTCATATCTCCCTCCTTAAATCTCTCCCTCAATTCCTTATCTCTCTTTTAACAAAACTTTTTCTCTCCCAAAATTTTTCTTCTCTCATTCATCTCTCCCTCCTTAAAAATCTTTCTCTCAATCTCTCCCTTCCTAAAGCTCTCTTTAAGAACAACCTCTTATATCATATATCACTTAAAAGGCTAAAGTCCTCACGCCCCAACCCAAAAGCCTGTCACACCCAAACTAACGAGGAAGCTCTCTTTTCTCTCTCTCTCTCTCTACACTATCCTAGCTCTCTCTCTAATAGTTTTTTTTGTTAAAAATATTTTTAAAAATGAAAGATAGAAGGTATGTTATTCATCTCTATTTTACATATTTCAAGTTCTAATGTAGTTTTTTAATTATAGCAAATAAGTGGTTTGAGCCCACTTACCCTCTATATATCTCTCTAATATAATAATAATATTAATAATAACAATAATAAGTTGTTGTTGATGTTGTTGTTATTACCGTTATTATTGTTGTTAGGGTTTTGTTAGGCTGCACCACTTGTGGAGTAGACCCTTAAAGTGCTCAACATTTTTAGACATTTAGATAGCCTTATCCTATAGTATAGTAACTTTTTGCTTAGGAGTATTTTAAGTAATTAGTAAAGGGTAAACTATAAATTTCTAATAGAAACAATAACATTTATTAACAATAGTGGACAATGACATCATTGATATGGTGCGTTACATCACCCACAAGATCCATTAATTGTTTTTAAGTACTAATAGAATGCCACTATTTTCTTATAAAAATATCCACTCTACCTTTCTAAATTACCAAAAATGCCCCTACTTGAAATTTTTTTTATTACAATTCAAGAGTATTGTATTGTTAAAAAATATTGAGCACTTTAAGGGTCTACATCACCAAGTGGTGTAGCCTAACAAAACCTTTATATTTTTTATATTGCACTTTCTTCTAGGTTTCTATTGCTATTTTTCAAATGGATTATGTCTCTTTTCATCTATCTATTGGAAAGTAGAAAATTAGTTATTTGTTCGTTTCGATTCTTATGTTAAATGAAGTATCGATTTATTTTCATCTCAAATTTTTCCTTTCTATGTATTTTAAATTTTTTATGACTATTTGAATATTAAATTGCTTTTGTAACTACAATATTATATTTCTAGCAAAAAAATATGTGGTGAGGTATATATAAAATTTAATTCTATTTTTGGGAGATACTTGAATAATTTTTATTTTCTAATTATGAATTTTTATCACATCTCCTCTAGCTTTCTCTCACTATTATTCATTTGCACAATATCAATTTTTATTCCTCTATTTAAAATAGCATTTAAATTTTTTTTGTCACCCTATAATTGTATTTTATCACAAATAGTATACCTGAATTATATATATTTATTGCATGGTTTTTAAAAAATCATAATTATTTCATAAAGTTATTCAATAATGAGGATAAATTCAATGATTTCTAGAACCATATTTTATTAAAAATATTTGTCAATAATAAACATGTTTCAATTATTTATATTAAATATCATGTGCATATTAGTACGACTAGAGAATACACCCTCCCCAAAAAATCCCATTTTTGTTCATGAAATTTTACTATTTTATGAACGATAATTAAGAACCAAGTAACGGGTTTAATAAAAGGAAAAACACGAAAATGGTAGCATTGTGTCATCTCTGCCGTCCAAGTTGAAATAAGGTGGCAGAGATGAAATGTCCTTCCAGTAGAACTTGTGATGGTAAACTTGAGCTACATACTCCTTATCTCTACCATCCATTGAATATTAAATATAAGTTGACCCATATAAGTACACTGCCTAGACCTTATGGTAGAGTTCCAAGAATGGACCCAAGACATACGAGGTCAAGGTGGTGGGTGCTACAATATGACCTATTGAGTTCCATTCTTATCATGGATAGAAAACCTATCACCTATATTCTACCCAAAAGGATATAGTAGAGTTCCCCCGTCTAGCTAAACCACCCATCAAAGCCACTGTCAAACATTGCTCTTGGAGGTGTATTTTTAGAATACCTATATCTACCATTGTTGCGATAGGCACATGATTTGGTAAACACCAATTTGGCCACTATTAGTGGAAAAAATAATTTTTTTCACTTTTTAATCCCAAATGATTCGATCACGAGTCAGTACACAAAGATTTACAAAAAAAAAAAGTCGTGGGGAAATGCATTTTGTCTGTAATTTGAATGATCAAAGATAAAATGGCTTACCACATACGAAAGTTGCTGCAATGGTGCCATGCCTTGGTGACTTCAAACAAGGCAAGAAAGAAAGGGTTGGCAAAATATCAATTTAAAAAGGACAAATGTGAAGGTATACAAAGATAATACGAAAGTAAATGAGTAACGACAAGGTATCTTAAATATAAGGGGGCACTTTTAGTGCATGAAGAGACAAATGCATTTGCATCCCTGCCTACCCATAGTAAGGCCCAAGTAAATTCCCTCATCTATATTTACCACATTTACTAAGAGCCATTCTTCTTCTTCTATATTTTTATTTTATATTTTATTTATTTGAGTTTATCGTCATCGTCATCATCATCATCATCATCCAAACTTTATCCATGATGGTCTCTCAAAAAATTAAAATCAACTGTTTACATTTTCTTCACATTAATATTTTTTATTTTTGGGTAAGTACATTAATAATTTCCAATTTCAGGATTTGCATATTCTTTGAAAATTAGGGTCAAAATCTGCTTCAAAATTAGATTATTAAGGGGGGTTTGCATTTCTACTTATGAGTTTAGGGCTCATAGAAACCGTGTCCTTTAAAATGAGTGGTGGCCTTTGTTCATGTCCTAAACCTCATTCTTGAACGCCACTAATTTTCATTGCTCAAGTAAAACATTACATCTCCAAAGAAAAGGTACTAAAGATCAATCAAAGATAGGGACAAAAGGACACTAAATCACACGCGACATAAAAATTTATTAGAAAACAAACTAAAATATTTTATGCTCCCTTCGATTGGTTATTTACTTCTTATTGGGATTGGATCGGACGTGCAGGTCCTTTTAGATTGGGTACCAGTATTATAGTTCATTTGGTCCAAAGCAAAAATCAAATGTTGTTAAAAATAGTAAAAACCAATGTCTGGCCAGTTTTGATCTATACATACGATGATCCGATTCTTATAACACTACTTATGAACTCAAATTTGGCAAATATAACCTCCTCCGCCTAGCAAACATTTAAAAGAACTAAAAACTTCTCATGCACTCACAAAAACAGTTTGATAAGGTCATTTTTGAGCGAATAATTTCATAAGGTTGAATGCATATCATTTTTGAGCGAATAATTTCATAAGGTTGAATGCATATCAACCAATTTTGTGACGATCGAAGGGGCTCGAATCTAATTTTTCTTTACAAAATTGCCTTTTTGGTAACCTAAAGTCTTATCGTAAAACTTGATGGCAGAAAACCTCGTCTTTTAATCCCGCGGGAGCAAGCAAAGAAATTATTGTTTTGCTTTTTCCTGGGAGTCCATTTCTCCTTTTTTTTCTGAGAGTGAAATGCCCTTCTCCGATCAATCGCTCCCTTTTCACACGGGGAGGGGTGATTTGAAAAGTGCAGAAAGAGAGAGTGAGGTGATTTGAAAGTGCAGCATGGCAAGAATTAGGGTTCGCCTCGTCTTCTTCTCGACATGGTTGCTGCTAATCTCTCTCTCTTTTGCGGACGATGTCAGCCGTGACGACGATTTCACCCCTAAATCTCCGGGGTGCGACAACAAATTCCAATTGGTAATGCAATTCAAATGCAACCATCTCATCTTCTCTATTACTATTTTATTCCTTCCATTTCTTGTTCTCAACAAACACATGAGATATATGCCAAAATTGCGGAGATTGGAACGAGTTTCTGAGTGATGATCAATTCCTCTGGTTTTTCTGATTGGTAATAGCCAACCGTTCATGGAAATCCTTTTTCTGATTACCAACAGGAAAATGATAGAAATATTCTTTGGTATCTCTTGTTTTGTCTCTTATTAACGGTTCAATTCTAGGTTTGTTCCTTGTATATTTTAAATAATGTTTAATTTGGTTTCATTTGTATTCTTCGAGAGACACATTCTTAGTTTTTCTTCTCCTGATACATATTTATCATAATCTTTTTCTTTTTGAGGGTTGACATGTGAGAACCTGATTCATATTCGTTGTCATATTTTTTTTTTTTAATATGGCGGGTGTATTCCTGAGCTGTCATTGTTATAAACCTCTTATTTGGAGTTAATTTTCATTATTTTTTGTACTTTATACTAGTATGAACCATTTTTTTTCTTTTGGAATCATATATACACATTTAAATCCATAAATTCAGGCTGAGTTGACGAAGTGGTATTTTATACGATAAAGTGCAATCTGCTGTTAAGGTCTTAGGCAGACTATGGGGTATAGTTTGCCATGGCCTAATACCAAGGTTCAATACCCTGCTCGGGCAAGGGACTCGAGCCGGACCCTAGTCGTGTAACTCGGGCAAGTATGAGTGGACTTGCTTGAGTAGTGTACAAGCCGAGAAAAAGGGCTAAATTTTTTTTTTAAAAAAAGGAAAAATTGTTAAAAAAATTGAAAAGAAAACTAAACTATAAACAAGATTAAAAGTTCTAGAAAGTTGGAAACAATATATAAAAGCTGAAAATTGGAAAAAAATTATTTAGAGCTAGAAACAGTTCAGAAAAATCCAAAAGAAGGTGGAATGAAAAAAAATATGACATACGATAAGAAAAACTAAAAGGGCCATAACCCGGTGCTGGTCCTGCCTACGCAGCGTCTTGGGAGGGGTGAGATGGAAACGGTCCTAACCTTTGGCATTTTATGCACAAAGTGGCCACTCTTAGGACTCAAACCCGTGCTCTTGTGCTGGCTACCCGAGCCTTTTATCGTCACACCAAGTGGCGGCTTCTTATAAGAAAATAGCTAATCATCATAAAAAGAAATCAAAATTATACAAAAATTTATACATTGATCTAGTAAAATTTGTACTTTTATATTTTTTTCATATTTTTTTACATAACCCAAGTTTGTACCTATAAACTTGGCTCAGCAAGGTGCCGTGTCCATGTAACTCAGCCAATCAAGTTGACTCAGCTGAGTTTTAAACCATGATGCTCAAAATGCCACCTTTTTTTCCCCCCTCTACATCGATTTTAGAAAGAACCCGTGTCCCCTTTCTATTTCTATAGTAAGGACTCGCAATGGGAACCCACCTATTGCGTTGCTGATATTAACAAACAGCTATTGCAAACCCCTTACGTGTGATATGTGCATTATTCACATTTTACGTGGTCTACTCGATATATGAATTTATGCTAGCGAGGTCAATAATTGAGTCTATGTATGAAGGAGCGCAAACGAGTCTGCAAACAACTAGTGGAACGATGAGTGAGTTTTGACAATAAGTCTACATCAGAGGTCAGCGTTGAGCTCATATGTCTTTGTCTTAGTTATGGACGACTTAACTAGGCACCTACAAGGTGAGGTACTGTGGTGTATGTGTTTGCAGACGACATAGTTTTGATTGATGAGACTCGAAGTGGCGTCAACACAAAGTTAGACCTTTGGAGGGATGCTCTAGAATCTAAAGGTTTTAAAATTAGCTGGACTATGATAGTATATAGAATGCAAGTTAAGTAATAATAGGAGTAGAGATGAGGAAGTAGAGATGATGAAGTAGTTAAGATTGACAGCTAATATATACCACATAGCGCGGACTTTCGATATCTTGAGTCAATAATAAAGGAAAATGGGGGGATTGAGGAATATGCCACACATAGAATTAGAGATGGGTAGGCCAAGGAAGTTGTACAACCGGAGTTTTATGTGATTGCTGTATATACCATTGAAGCTGAAGGGGAAGTTCTATAGGATAGCTGTGGGATCGGCTTTGCTTTATAGGGTGGAATGCTGGGCTGTCAAGTAGGATTAGTGTAGCTGAGATGAGGATATTGAGATAGATGAGTGTGCAGACAAGAAGGGATAGAATTCAAAATGCATACATTTGGGAAAACTTTGGTGTGGCTCCAATATGTGAAAAGATGAGAGAAAGTATACTTAGGTGAACTGGCTATATGCAGTGCAGTCCCAGTACAACACTTGTTAGGAGGTGCGAGTTGGTTCAAGTGGAAGGCTAAAAAAAGACAAGGGTGGGCCCAAAAGGACATGGTTGGAAGTCGCGAGAAAATATATGGGGACTTATGATCTCATTGAGGGTATGACCCTCGATAGAGCAGAATGGCAGACAAGGATTATGTAGCCAACCCCAACTAGTTGGGAAAAGGCTCTAATGATGGTAACGATGATGATGACTCGTTATATGGATTACCTATTGTTTAGAGAACAAGTTTACCATTTTCATTGTTGAATAAAAACCTATGTTTGGGTATGTAGGACTTTTACTGATTTGTTAGTTTAAAGCACATTTACTATTCATCTAGTGCGGAAGGTAACAGACCAGACCGTGGAGTGCTCTATCCAGTATGAAATGGATCATTTTGAGACATATTGAGGTCTTAGCTGGTAGCTAAAAAAATAACTTGCACTTTTATTATGATGAACCGTTATTTTTGTAGTTCTATTTTTTTTGCAGTACTGTTTTTGTTATGCTGAACAGATTAATACTATACATGTTGTGGTGAATATGTTGCGGTGAACTATACTGTAATACTATTTTGTTTTGCTTCCTTCAAATATCTGAACTCGCTATAACATTTATTTGTTCCACATTGACAATTTATACGTAGTCTATACATTATGAAAAAGAAAAAATGTGTGTAGTTCCACTGTTTGAAAGTATGAACTTGTGTGAAAGTCTAGTATGGTTTTCTAGTTATTGTATTATCTCCTATATATGTTTGTTATACGCAATTGTTTCCTATAACCAGTTTGTTTTTTTCACCCATTCCCAATAGGGGTATTATGACATTAAGAGTTATTGGGCAAATCATCCTAGTGAAGGCATGGCTGGATGGAAATGAGGGATTTAGGAATGTTATCTTCTTAACCTTTTTTTTCTACACAAAATTGGCATAGATTATCCGAATTTTTTTGATATTGTATTTTCCTTTCAGGTTAAGGTTAAAAATTGGGTGAATGGTGTTGAAGATACAAGCATTGTTGGATTAAGTGCAAGATTTGGTTCTTCACTACCAAGTCATGCCAGTGAAGCACGAAAAAGACCAGCCGTTTTGGCAAATCCAGTGAATTGTTGTACTAATTCCTCTTCAAAGGTTAGTTTATTTCTGTTTCTGCTCTACAAAACACGAACAAAGAACCCCTTATCAATGGCCAGTAAACTTTTATGCTGGGAACTCTATGTGATTGCAATTTGGAATGAGGCACTCTCACTCCTACAAGTGGAAAGTCTGCTTGTTTAAACTTTAAACCTTCCTATGTGCATGATGTCGTATCTTTAATGTATGATTTTCATGAAAATTTAAATACGGTCCTTCCTATTAGTTTTTATGTTTGTGTGTACCTTGTTGAAAATATTTATCCTAGTGCTGAAAATTCTGCTCGGACATCCCTCGGCCCTTGCCCGAGCTGAGTTACTCGGCCACGTCAGACTCGGTCGAGTCCCTCATGAAATAGCAAAAGGAAAGAGAAAAATAGAGAGGAAGCAAAAGG